CTTGTCTTTATTTTTTCTCTTCTCTTTTTCTTTTCCTTTCCATTTATTTTCCTCTTCTTTCTCTTTCCCTCCCTCTACCCTCTTTCTTTTCTCTTTTTACCCAGCCCTGTACGACGGCTTGGTCAGCCGGTAAAAACCGTCAGGGGAGTCTGCCCCCTGCCAGTCTGCCCCCCCCCCCACCTGTTACGCCACTGGCTAACACGCCAATCATTTCCCCCCAATACTTAAAATAAATACTTATCTACGCCACTGTCCCCGACGTGGGGGGGGGGGGAGGGGTGATTCCCCCGACGAGGCGTTAGATTTCCCCGACGAAAGCAATGTGGGGTCGATTAAAAGGTTCCGAAAGTGGTCCAGGGGGCGAAGCCCCCGAAAACCTAAACAATTTAGGGGTTTTAAAGGATTGGAAATAGGCCTAGGCCCTAGGTTTAGGTAGGCCTACTTTGTTTCATGTCAATTAGAGACAACAGGATTATAAAATTTCATACAGTATATCTTTTAACTTACACAATATGATTAAACAGGGTACTGTACTTGAAAACAATAAGGAAGCAAAACTTAAACGTCAAAAGTGTCAAATGTTGTCTACAAAAAACTGTACTTTATTAAAAGAGTAATTCTACTGAAGGGGTGTCGTCAATGGAGATGTGCACACATATCAGTGTATTGTGGTCACTGTGCATGGGGTTGTCTGACAGCACATACCTGCTGACCTCGATAGAGAGTGATTGATAGCACAAAGGTTTCCATGCTGGTGCATCTGCGCTTAAACTGTCTTTGTAGCTATGCATTGTGCGATATGACATAGAATCAACCTTTCTATGGAATTGTGTATCCATTCAATTATCTCAACAAAAAAAATAAATAAATAAATAAAATTGTGATATAAGGGGTGGGGGTGGGGGGCGTCGCAGGCTCCCCCAACCCCTAAATCCGCCCCTGAAAGGCGTTATCTATGCCCTTTTTGTATTCTCCTGAAGACGATTGAAGCAACTCAATCGAAACGTCGAGATATTCTCAACTTACAACAACAGTTCTTTTAAAAACTATCTACGTTGTGTACCGCAAGCATTAATATATATTATTACTTCGCCATGTAAACCTTCAAGCAATTATTTAGTTTTTTTTTATGCTGGACCGAGGGTTACATGCCGATAATAATTATGCGATGTGATAATCTAGGCTATAGTAAGCGTTATGCAGGCGTAGGTTTCACCACACACTTGAACCCCTGAATTCTGAAATAGGCCTATATATTTCAGAAATGAATACGAATACTTATTAGGCTATTATGGTTACAAAAACAAACTGTATAGGTCTAGAATAGGCCTTACTTTTTAAACTCAGTCACGCGTATAAGTTGTACGAAATTTGTTTATTTGACGTAATGCAATACAGTAGGAACAGATAGGTCTAATAATTATCATGACAATTACAATGAGTAAGATAATGGTGACGATAATGATGATGATGATGGCATATGAATAAACTATAACAAACATAGTTGATTTCAGGTAGCGGGACTTGTCTTCTGTATAAGAAGATAGACCTACAATACAAACAGTGTATCATAATTTATGACAAATAATTATTATAATTACTGTCTTTCATCACTTCTCGTATTGTACTCTATGTGTCTTCATAATTTGCTATTGCTACACACTGCCACTGTCACTACCACTACCACCACAACCCCTCCAATTAAAGACCACCTCCTATTAAAGACCACTTTTTTGTGGTCCTAAATTAACAAATGTCTTTATCGTTATTATTCTAATTAGTGGCCAAAGCTACTAAAGTATAAACCACTGACCCAACTTAGTGATACCTGTAATAATAATAGAAATTGCAATGACATTAATAATGATAATAATTATTAAACATTATTAATAATGATTTATAAAAGTTATAATAACAGTTATAATTATTTTCATAATAAAAGTAATGTCAATATAATAATATCAGCATACATCTAGGCCTAATATATTTGGTTCAGCTGTGACGCTGTAATCAATGGTGCATTATACATCCAATAGCGTAATAGAGTTTGAAAGCTATTCATACCTTAATCGACTCAATCATTAAGGCCTACTTTAATGAGGTTGTCATTCTGACTAGTTTTTTTTTTGTCGCTTTAGTAGCACGATATCGTAAGCGTGTTATATTACGTTGTATTATACAGCTCTTTTTAAATATAGAAAACAGTTTCAGCCTCATAAATTATTACGCCTCCTAGATTTCATCTTCAAACCAACTTGAAGACTAAAGCTGAAACAACTTGGAGATGGTATTACTTATCTAAATGTTCATGGCGCAATTCTAACATTCTAACAACTAAGTATTATATCGTCAACGTAGTTTCAGATAATTTGTATACAAATTATAGACTGTAAATTGTATGTTTATTACAACAAGATACGTTTGAATTTGAAAATACCAACGTCATTATGGGTATAATATTGTGGGAGCGGATCTTGCTTATTATTTCGCTGCTTGCGTATTATTCAGTGTGCAAAGCTGAAAAAAGTAAGTATAATATTTTTATTTAAATAACTAATTTATCGTCATCGTCGTCTTCGCCATCTGTATTGTCAGTTTCGTCTTCATCATTATCATCTCATCGATGAGATTATGACTACGAATAAACTATAACAAACATAGTTGATTTCAGGTAACCAGTGGGACTTGAATATTGCTATCTTTGAAATTACAATTGACGATTAAGCTGGAATGCACACGCTAATAAACTGGCCAGTAAGGCAACTGTAAGGTTGTATTTTCTCCGAAAGTTAAGAAGCTTGTTTTTAAATAAATCAATTTTATTACTTTTTTATAGATCGGTTATACAGAGTAGGCCTATACTTAAGTTTTATTTAATATGCACTTTTGGAAATTTTAGTAAAGAACATAAGAAAAAGTTTGAGAGAGTAAGACGGTCAGCAGAACGGTGCATTGGTTGTGATATCACTACGATCAATGCTCTATTATTATGAGGAGAATGTTAGGAAAAAGCTTGACTTAATTATGTTGGACGAATCTCGCCCTTTACATAATCATTTATGCGTTCTGAGATTACGAGCTCCTCGTTCGACACATAACATACACAATTTTTCATTTGTAATGAACTCAATTAGATTATATAATAAATATGCATCAAGATAATTTGGTATTAAAGATGATGGTTGTAGTAGTAATATTAAATATAAAAAAACATTCATATAGAGTATTGATTGTAATGATCGTAATGATAATGATTGTAATAATGATAATAATTGTGATAATAATTGTAACAAGAATAATGTTTTATGTATTTTATATATATTTTTTTAATTGATTTTTACTATGTACAGTATTTTGTATGTAAATACGCCATGGAAAACGAATTTCCAACATGTTTTAATGTTTGCACAAATAAAAGTTTATCTTATCTTATCTTATCTTATAATTTTATCGTCATCATCGACTATCATCATTTTCATCAAAATCGTCGTATTCGACATTTTTTCATCGCAATCGTCGTATTCGATCGTCATAATATTCATCACAATCGTCATCTTCGTCACCATTTTAATTACAATCGTCGTCATTATCATCTTCATCGTCAACATCATCATGATTATTGTGCATAAACTCTCATTTAAGAATAAGTTTAGGCCTATTTGTGTAGGGAGTAGAAAATCAGGTCATGGAATAACACATTTCTGTATATTTTATATATGTCTTAATTTTTATCACAATCGTCGTCTTAGTCATTATTTTCATTACAATCGTCGTAATCATCATCATCATCATCATCATCATCATCATCATCATCATCATCAATGTTATTATGCATAAACTCTCAATTAAGATTAGATTTAGGCCTATTTGGGTAGGGCGTAGAAAATCTGGTCATGGAGTAACACATTTCTCTATATTTAATTTTTTTGATAATTATTTTGTTCGATGGTTATTTTTGCGTATACTTATGAACTTGCCCTCTATAATTTATAACTTTTTATTATTGATTTAATCACATCGGATAAATGAGAATTAAATGAGATGATCCGAAGTATAAAATAATTATGGTCTTATCGATAATTTATAAAGAAGATAATTGTATTCAGAAATTTGACAATTTCCTTTACAGTTTCTGGATTAGTTATGTTGCCATTGAAGCAAAACAGTATAATAAACTTCACAAAGGGACAAGTGGCAAAATGTCGGGTGGAAAAGGCCGGTTGGAATAAAAGCCGATCAAATGGCCGGATGGTAATGGGACAGGTACTGGCAACGGGCTGGAAAAAGTATTTCGTTCCAGGACATTCTTTGGCAACTTCATTTTGACTACAACCTACTGAAATCCCATTTATTTCATCTCACTCCATCCCATGTAAGCATGCTAAACATTTCAACAACGACGATTTTGCAGTGAAGACCATTGTTTAACCAAAGCTGTTAATATAATGTACAGTAACTTTCTTCTCTCCTATAGGGTCTCTTCGTGTCTGAGCTGTCCGGTAAACTGGTACCAGCTATCTCTCATCAGTCACAGCATATAAATATTTGTGCGTGTGTGTGTGTTTGTATGTGAATGAATAGATGAATGAATGAAGAAATGGATACATAAATAAAAGAATAAATGGATCGATGCATGTAAGGAGGATCATCAGGGAACAGTGAAATTGTAATTTCACTGTTCCCTAGGAGGATAAATCAATGAATGGATGGATGCATGAGTTGATGGAAGCATGAATGGATGGACGGACGATTGGTTGCATTGATGTATTAAAAATAAAATAAAATAAATTATTATTATTATAAATTCATGAATTATTGAATGTGTAAAATTAAAAAATGAGCAAATGAATGAACGAATGAATGAATGAATGATTAAATGAATGATTTAATGAATGAATGGATGGGTGAATGAACGAAACGAATGAATTAATAAATTATTCAATGAATGAATGGATAATGACATGTATTCTTTTCTGTTTTTATAATTTACCTATCAATAGAAATAATATGTGGAGGAATAGATGGAACCCTAAATTGCACTAGATGTCATCTCATACACGTGTTATCTGCAACATGGGGTCGCCACGAAGATGAAAGTGTTTGCACTCATCCATGGATACATACCACTGATTGTGGTGAATGGGATAATGCGCTGGAAGTCACTGCTGGGCATTGCAACAATAGATCCACTTGTTCTCTGTCCCCAGGCCGGAGTTTGTTTGGTTATGATCCCTGTGAAAATACCCACAAGTACTTGGAAATTGACTTCGAATGCATTCAAGGTAAGTTTGATTCAATATAATAATATAATATAATATTACAGTATAATGATCTATTTATATTATGATATATAAAGTGGGCACTTCTATTACATTATTAACACAGCCACATTGGTAGCATCACAAAAACAGTATAGTCTCTATGTGTGTATAAATCATACGTAATAATATATGTAAAATTTTATATAGTATACAATATATTATTATTCTGTTTCTTTGGTTAATTCATATTTTTTAATGTTGATGTATTTTTCTCCTTTGAAGGAAAGCTATTTTAAATTCATAATAAATACAATAACTTTATATAGGCCTACTGCTTTAAAATCAAATGTTGTTTCCGAA